AAATTGTATTTTCAGTGCCTCCATAATATTTGGGACAAATTTAGACACATTTTTCCTTGATTTACTCCTCTGCTCCACAGTTCAAAATTTCAAACCAAGTCAGAGGAGATTAAATTGCACATTCCAGATTTTAATTTAAGGTTATTTGCAGACATTTCAGTTTCACCATGTAGAAACTGCAAGACTTTTTATACATACTGTAGCCCCCACCGTTTCAGGCCACCATAATGTTTGGGACATAGCAATGCTAGTTATAGTAAAGCATGTTTAGTACTTTGCTGCATATCCCTTGTATGCAAGAACTGCTTGAATTCTGAGATTCAAAGACATCACCAGGTGCTAAATATCATTTCTGGTGATGCTCTGCAATGCCTCTGATGCAGCGACCTTCAGCTCGTGCTTATTTTGGGGGCTTGCACTGTATATGTGATATGATAATCTGCACAAAAACTTATATAAAATTCAGAATAATGTTACTTTGTGTACATCTGTGGTCACCAACTGGTGGACTCCGGTCTGCATCTGGATTAAAATGCCATTGAATCCTGACCACACAATCATTTTTCTCATAGGGCAAACCACACCGAGCTTTATTTTTTTTTGTATGCTAACCAAATACAAACCAGTTTTACTTTTACATAAACTTGAATTATAAATAAACTGGAGATCACCGACATACTGATGTGGGTTTCCCTTGGCTTTTATTTCACAAAATACCGCATTTCTCAGTTCTTCAAAATTCTTGTTGGATTGGTTATCACAGCAATCCTTCAGTAAACTCAAACTTGCTCGGAGCAGAGGGGTATTCGTTGTACGTGGTTTAAAACATCCAAGTTCAAAGGACTAATCCAGGATCCTCTAATCGTGCATATGGTTAATTTCTTCCTGTTTCAAGGAACTGCAGGTTATTGTGTGGCTGAGAGATCGCGGGGGGTTCAGAGCCTATCACGGAGGCCACAGGTGCAAGGCAGGGAACAGCCCAAGGTGCGACACCAACTCATAGTAGGGCACACTCACACACCTATATAATTGATTGGCAATGATATACAAGAAGAGGAAGAGGGAGTGAATGGGAATGCAAAAGTAAGTAAGAGTAAGACTCATATGCAGTATTATCTTTCTGTCATCTTTCATAAGAGATGACAGACACCCTAATGCAGTGCTTCCTAACCTAAAGAACTCCCAGATGGTCCACATTCTTGCTCTTTCTCAGCTCCCAACACACCATTGGCAGGTATTCTGTGTTCCTGATTGGACAGGAGGTGGCAGGAAGCAAAACTGTGGACTATATGAGTGTCCCTGAGGAGAAAGACTGCCACAAACATAAAACGCTAAACGAGACTGCAGTTGTTGATCTAGTTGGGGAGAATGATGGCATGCGCCTGAGGGTCATCGTGGAGATGGCACTGCTCTCCCAAATACTGGTCAGGTGAGCTGCATCTATAATAAGCCAGACATTTGAAAAAACAGCAGCTCGGGGTGAAACAGGTGAAACATGTTCCATCCAAGAGATTCTCATAAGCAATATGTGTGAGTGGGTACTTTTGTAATTGATAGTTTACTGTGACTGTGACAAAGATCTGTTGTCGTTTAGCTGCTGATCATCACTGTGGGTGCAGTAGGTCCAGTTCTGGTCATGCTTTCTTTTTGGTCAATGACTTGCGTGTTTCTCCAATCCGCCATCAGCGACAATGTAGAAGAAACCAATCAGCAATACTGTGAATATCCAGCACCATGTCATGCCATAGCCCACCTCCAAGTCTTCTAGGATAATTCTTGGGCACCTTTGTCTCTCCAGACGAAACAAGGGACGAAACAATATATGAGCAACTCATATATTTCATTCTTTGGGACCATGAGGCTTCCCCCTATAGGGTTCTGTGTTTCCTTAATCTATTCAAAATATGCCAAGGTTCACAGTCTGATACCTTTCATCAAACCTTCATTCTCCAACCCCAATGAGTAGTTCTTCATAGGCTGACGTCTGTAGCAGCTAATGGCCCTCATTAAATGCCATGTGAAGAAACCAGTTCTGACGTATTTCTGCAACATATTATAGCTGATGGTCCATTTTAGGTGGCGTGTGAAGAAATCGGATGTAAGGTATCACTGCGAGAGAAGTTTTAAAGTTGCTTGACCAGGCAAAAAACAATCTGTGTATGAAATGGATGAGACTTTCTGATTTGACCTGCCATGTGGCCACAAATGTATGAGTCCACTTAGTGGTAACCCTCTTACTACATTCCTCAGTTCACCCATAAATTGAAAAAAAGAGACATCCTTATTTTTACATTAGTGCAACTTATGTAACAGCTCATACAAAATCACGCATACAGGCTTTTATATGAAAACCAATATATGGTATATTACTGCAGCAAAGAATAGACCACAGGATTGCACTCAAAGCCACTTTTTAACCCCCCAGAAACAAGAATCATCAGATCCTACAGCCTGGAAAAAGGCCAGTACATTTATTTTAGTAATTGAAATTATTGGTTATGTTTATGTTGTAGGGCTCATTGGACTAATGGAACACATAAAAGGGCATGTTTGCAAAAAACTTCTTAAAGCTAAAGCTAAGTCCTCCAAACACCTCTAATTATCCTCATATATTAAACCCTACTGCTCTCCCCTGGCCTCTTTGTTGTTTGTTTATGCATTGCCTGCTTCTCTGATAATACAGCATGAGTACATATGAGCCCACATTTTCCATTATTTCATGCTTGCCTCCATACAAAGCTTTAACTCCCAATGCTTTTTGCAGCGAACCTGCCAGTTTCTTTTAATCTTATTAAATCAAGTAAACAATTTATGACCCAAATTCTTCTATTAACCTCTATTAATTGTACTATATATCTTAAAATTCTTTATTGCTATTCTGTCCATGATTTAATTGTTTAGTGTAAGCCTTTGTCTACAGCATCTTACACACCTTACTCACCTTACTGTTATACCCATTTAACCGCAATCGTACAGACACAAGTACAGTTTCCTATTTCCCGGGTGCACCATCATAAAGGTGAGACATGGCGTAAAAGCCGTACAGATACATGCTTTCCGTGGACTAAAGGCCACCCAGCGAGGGATGTGGAAAGCAGGCCGTGGCCTGTCCCTCCTGTGAAAGCGGCAGCTGTAATGCAGCCGTTACTCAGTAGCATCCCTATCACATGGCTGGCTATTAGCCACATGCAGGAGACACTTTGTGATTGTACGCTCTATGCTCTATGAGCTGATGAAGCTGTGAGGGCCAACGACTCCCTCAATGACTTGTCTCCATCTCACTCTCTGCCTCTCTTCGCCTGTTGTGCGTTCTCTCTCCGCCCTCCCTACATTCCCTCACCACCTTCTCTCTGCTCTCCTTCAGTCCGTTGCCTACTCTCCCTCCACCCATCCACTGTCCCCTCTCTTTCCACCATCCCTACACCCTCTCTCAATCCTCCCTCTTCCCACTTGCAAGAGCAGAGCTGTATGGATAATAGCAGGAATAGTAACTTCAAGCTAGCAAACCAAAACACCACTGGGGACACTCCAGACAGTATGCCAGTGAACACCATGGCACAAGGCTTGAGACACCCTGGAGAATATGCCAGTCAATCACAGGGCACAAGGCTGGGAACATCCTTGACAGTATTCCAGTCAATACCAGGGCACAAAGTGGACATCCCAGAAAGTATGTTGGGCAATCACAGGGCACAAAGCAGAGGACATTCTGGACAATATGTCAGGCATTCACAGGACACAAGACTGGGGAAACCCCGGACAGTATGCCAGGCAAGCACAGGGCACAAGGCGGGGGACACCCTGGACAGTACGCCGGGCAGTCAGTGGGCACAAGGCGGGGCACACCCTGGACGGTACGCCGGGCAGTCTGTGGGCACAAGGCGGGGGACACCCTGGAAGGTACGCCGGGCAGTCAGTGGGCACAAGGCGGGGGACACCCTGGACGGTACGCCGGGCAGTCAGTGGGCACAAGGCGGGGGACACCCTGGACGGTACGCCGGGCAGTCAGTGGGCACAAGGCGGGGGACACCCTGGACGGTATGCCAGACAATCACAGGGCACGTACACACAATACAGACAATATAGAGACACTAATTAGCCTAAGTACACATGGTTGCTCTGCAAGAGGAAACCCATCGGACCTGGGGAGAATATGCAAACTCACTCACATACACACACACACACACAGAACAGAGATGGGATTTGAACCCGAAACCCTAGAGGTGTGAGGTATGAGTGATACTGAGCCACCCTAAATAAACCAGCCAAATTAAATAAACAAATGAATTGGTCTTTAATGTTTGTCAAGCTGCTTAACTATAAAAGAAGTCTAGCTATGCACAAATACCCGAACAGCTAGTCTGGTAGTAGAGAGCAGTTATGTGATGTTGATGATCAATCCTAATCAATGTTAAAACAGATCTTAATATTGATGACAATTTTTGAATAATATAAATAACAATAACACATTGTCAATTGGCATCCATGTCAGAGCATCATTATGGTGAGTGGCATTTGGGGAAGTTCTTTAAAACCTTTTGTAAAAACATAGTACAGAATGTGGCTCCATATTACAGCTACTGAGAATGTGTGTGTGTGTTTTTAATTAGTTGATTAATTAATTAATTAATTTTTCTGTTCATATCATCTCTCCCTGACACTTGAAACTCAGTACCGGCAGACAGAGCCCAAAATACACGTGTCACGGTGACGGAGCTACTGGCTGCAGGATGATAAGCTGCCATGTCCCTTTTCCAGTCCCTCTGCCAGAAAAACAAATATTAACCACCTGCAGAATGGTCTGCTTTCTCAGAAGTAACTGCAAAAATCCCGGCAGAATAATGGAATCCACGGTGAAGCCAGAGATGCCAGATATTTCCTATCGACCGCCGTCAGGCACAGAACACCGACGAAACAGCTGCATCCAAAGCGTGGTGAACTTATGAAGGAAGTGATGGAGAACAACAGACAGAAAGAGAGGCTAAGAGGGAGGTTCTTACCTGATAGTCATTCAGGGAGTGGAATATGGCATCAGGTTAACTGTAACAGTCCCAGGCAGGCAGACTGTGGGGAGTGTCTCTATCGCCGAAGGAGAGTCTCGCTGCCGTGCACCGTCACACAGCGAGCAGGGTGTTCCTGGCACTGAAGCTGCCTCCAGCCCTTCCAGCAAGAATTAATGAAGCTTCGTGCCCTGCTTCCCCTCTTCCTTACTCCCGGTGTCTCTCTCTCTCTCTCTCTCTCTCTCTCTCTTCATAATTCCCAGATCCTCTCTCTCTCTCTCTCTTTCTCTCTATTACCCTTGGTAATTCCCAGATCATCTCTCTCTCTTTCTCTCTCTCTCCCTCTTCCTAATCCCCAGCTCCTCTCTTCCTAATTCCCAGTACCATTTTCTCTCTTCCTAATTCCCAGTTCCTCTTTCTCTCTCCCTAATTCCCAGTCCGTCTCTCCCTCTTCATAATTCCCAGTCACTTTCTCTCCTTCCCAGCCCCCTCTCACTCCTTAATTCCCAGTCCATCTCTCCCTCCTCATAATTCCCATTCCCTCCCTCTCTCACCCTCTTCTTAATTCCCAGCCCCTCCCTCTCTCCATTTTCTCAATTCCCAGTCCTTCCATCTTTCTGTCCCTCTTCTTAATTCCCAGTCTCCCTCTCTCTCCCTCTTAATTCCCAGTCCCTGCCTCCCTCTTTCTCTTCATAATTCCCAGTCTCCCGTTCTCTCCCTCTTCTTAATTCCCAGACTCTTCCTAGTTTCCAGTCCCGCTCACTGTCTCCAGGATCCAGACGATCAACAGGCAGCTGCACTTTCTTTTCAACTGGCTGTTTATACCCCCCCCGCCTCCCCACCGCTATTTCTGGCGGGCACATCACCGCCTGGCCC